TTTATAATCGTTACGAGTTGTTTTACTACGAATATAGTATGGATGAATAATTTGTATTCATTTCTTTGTATAGTTTGATGAACAAATTGGTTGTTTTTGAAATAAGATATTACCATAGAATATTCAGGATCCCCTTAACCAAAAAAATAACAAATTAACTGTGAAAAATCAGGGCAAATAAATAAATCTGTAAAATAATTTAAAGAAGAAGAGATAATTATACAAAAATTTTTGGAGCTGAAGTAAAGGTCAGATAGAATAAGCAATGTATTAATTAAGTATAGACAAAAAAGATTTAAGATAAAGTAAGGTAAATGTATTTTGGTCTGAAGTAACTACAATTTGAAAGAATGGTAAAGATAACTGCAGCTAAATTAACAACCACAAAAAGATAAATATATACTTATAATATAAACAATATTGTGTTGTCAGTAATTAATTTTGGGAAATAGATAAGAAAAAAATTTGTTTGTATGTAAATGTGTTTGTTTGTCTGTATGTGCATAAAATAATACAATTTTGAAATGAAAAATCTTATTATTTTATGCATCCAACTATAGTAATTGTTATTGATGTCCGACTAGTAAAATTACTATGTATTAGTGTATTGCACTTATAAGAGTGAACTATTTATTTTGAATTAAAATTTTAATTTCTTAAATTATTTATTTTGAATAACACTTTTAATTTCTAACATATATTTATATTTTCAAGGTCATGGTGGTCTTAATAACCCTTATGATTTAGTAATCTAACATACCTAGAAAATTCTACGTGCAAAAGTTTATGCATAATTTTTGAAATTTATAGTTTTAAATCTAATAAACTTTAATTATTTCTATATATTGTTTGTATACACCTAAATCAATGACTCATATTTCCAAGTTAACACACACTATTCAAACAAATTGAAAGCAGTTAAATTATTTAAATTTACAAACTTCTTTAAAGCAATTAAGCACACATGGTTTGTAACTTATAATCACTCGACATAATTTATATATGTTTATAAAATTATTTATAAATTCATACAGCATACAACATTTTATAAATAAATTATTACATTCTTCTGGATATTCATTTTATTTTAGTTTAATACAAACATATAAGTAATAATTAGTTATTAGCTTATATATATATATATATATATAATTTCAATTGATTACCATATTGGCAAGATTTCAAATTTTTCTTCATAATGGCATATCTCCAATTTGAATCATCATAATCATGAACTTGAACGTAAATAATATTGAAATATACTTTTGATAAATATTATATCATATATAAGTATCAGGGTTATTATAATGATACATTTTAAAAATGTTATAATAATAAATTAGTGAAATTCATTATTTAAATTACTTATCATCCATTCAGACAGATGGTAATAATTATTTAAGACAAAATACCACCAATGTCTATTTCAATATATCATTATAATAGTTTATAAACAATGTTAGTGTTGAAAAAAATGTGATACGTTTTTAGACGATAAAATAAATATTTAAGTAAATTTAAATTGAGAAATTTACTGTAAAAATATTCAATGATGACTCGAACTATTCTCGAGTATATATATAACTTGTGATTTAGTTGAATACTTTTTTGAATTATGTTGAATTAAACCTAAATGATTACTTAAAAAATAAAACTTTACTTTTTGTTGTTTAATATTTATAATCAATATCGGAATTATATACGAAAAAATTCTCCATTTTTTTATTATACAATTATTAATTGGTAAAATTAAATTTAGAACCTTTCAATAACAATTTTGAATTTCTTTTTTGAATTTTCAAATCTTTTTGCTTTATTTTAACACTGTTTATTATTTTACAGTGTTAAAATATCTGTAACTTTCCTTATATTTTTCAACGATAATGTTATACTATAATTTACTACAAAAAATATTAAAAAAATAATTATTATTTTTCATCCATAAGCTATACTTTCTATCCATTATTACATTTTTGAATAAAATAAATAGAAGCCAAGTTTTTGATAGGGATTTTTAAATACTATGCTATTGGTAAAAAATAAAGCGTTTATAAATAACTAATTAGTTTCTGTTAAATAGATACGTTGAAAATATTTATTTTATTTCTTTTAAACAATGGCCAACTTAATACAGTCAATACGTATTTTAACAATAGCTAAACTATAATTTAATATGCTTGTTATGTGTATTAAAGAAATATACTCAAAATATACAAATATTATGTTGGTACTGTATACTGTTTCTAAGGAAATTATTTAAGTATAACTTTTAAATTGCATGTAATAGTATATACATTAAAATGGATCCACACTTATTGGGTAATAAATTCAGATTGCTCATTTTCTGTTTGAAAAAGGAAAAGAGATAGTGTGTATAAAAGGGTTATCCATCAAGGAAATGCCACCAAAGAAGTAGCTATTTCCGTCGGGTAGTGAGAAAAACGGGAAACTTTTGTTTCTTTTTTCGTCCTCGGACAACCACTTCGACCTGAATACACACACAACGCTAACCTTCTCATAGAAGTGATAATATAAAACAAGTTCCACCTTGTCCGTTTCCGAAAGAAAAACGATATCCGGAACGTGTTTTTGCTTTATTTTCCTTTGTCTTTAATATCCCGTCAATTACATAAATTGTATCGTTGTGCGCGTTGGACGTATATACAACGTTAAATATATTTTATAATACGCGTACTCCATGTACATGCACTGAAACAAAATTGACGAACGGTAATAATTAAAATTAATTATTATACATCCGACGGCTGTTAATCCTCCTCGGTTACATATGAATATCATGTTTGCATATTAATTTTCATTTTCATCGTCATTATCTCTTTGAAATCGTTCCTGGAATCGTTCTTAATCCAGTTTACCGACAATAGGCATTGGATATATAGCGTATTATTAATAATAATAATAACAACGAGTCATAATGAAATTTGTGTTTTGATATATACACGTTTAGATCGTTCTTTTTTGCCGTACATTGATTATTGTTTTGATGTTTGGTTAATATATAGATATTTTTTTGCTAGTACATTTTAATGATAGACAAACGTTTATTGAACTTTCTTTAGTAGTAAATACGTTTTATATTAAATGTAATGCGTTTCCGTAGTTTGGCACATAAAAATAAATATATTCCTACCTCTTATTACTTAAATATGTTTAGGCAATATGTACAGGCAAATTAGAAAGTTCAGTTTATTCTATGCCCGATTTTCTGGTACAAATTATGTCTAATTTTACATTATTTGGGCATTTTATATAGTGCCCAATTAGGTGTAGGGTAAATATTGAAAATACTAAAATTAAATATAATATCCAATTAGATATTTTAATAAACAAAAATAAAATAGAAAAAACTTAAAATATACACTTTGAATATTAATAAAATATAAATAAGTTATACAATTACCTACTAAAACGTAATGTTAGGTACATAGAATAACATTATTTATTATTTATTATTACATACATCACTATTTTGGTACTTTGAGTTACAAAGTCGATTAGATTTTTTTAACTTACACCAGTTAGTCTTACATAATGTATTGCAAGTACATTTGTTATGATAAATACATATGATAAATTTAATATACTAATAACATAAAAAACACACAAAAATGCCTTAAAAAACTTTAAAAAAATACCTTAAAAATTATATAAAAACTAATTAAATACGTGAAAAAAATGTATTTATAAATAATAATTTTTATTAAAGATATGGGTGTGATAATTGGTGTAATAGTAATTTAAAATATGAACTATGAATTATAATATTAATAAACAATAGTAGGTATACATTTACATTTTAAGCATTATATAAAATTATTAACACTTGTTCTCAAATATAAAATTTGAAAAAAATGTACAAAAACTACAAAAAATGACTTAAAAGATGAAAATATGACTTAATTTTTTTGAAAACGTTAAAAAACAATATAATTCATTCATAGCTAAAAATACCTAAAAATGAAAAAAATAAAAAATGCAAAATAAAATTATAATATTCTGCATCAAGGGAGAATGGAAAAAATGTTTAGCTAACATAGCCTTGTATAGAATCAAAGGAAAAAAAATGCAAAAGTCATTAACATCTTAACTCTAATCACAACCCTTGGCCACCTATGTTAGAATATTTTCTTGTCGTTTCTCCTAAAGATATTTTTACAGGTGATATTTTACTAGGTTGGATAAACACTTTTTCGCACATCGTGAATTATTATTTATATCATAAGTTTTTACTTTTTAGCCACCGTCATCGGTTACATTATGTACAATAAGAAATTTATATCAAAAGTCATGGTATCAATCGAATGAAATATACAAATATAGGTATAGTTACGTATATTCGTTATTCGATATAAACGTGCAGAGTTCATTAATTTCACATTGTTCACTTGAAACTGGTCCGGATACACATCGTACAATGACCGTTTATAGAAAAATTCAATGTGTTGACACGTTATTTTTTTACATCGCGCAAAATATTCAAACATTGCGTACAGTGCCCGGGCATTGTGTCACAATACCCGGGTTTCCTACTTAGTCCGTAACACATACACTTCGTAAGCTGATGTATATTATACGGGTATTTTTTTCACGTTCAAATAATTTAAGATACTCTGTTAAGACTAAAAGTTTTAATTATATTATAATTATTAAACGCACCTCTCTATTAAACGAGGAAGAACCATGGGGATAAAAAGGAATACGCCCCCAATGAGTTTAGAGTTCAGTAGTTATTTACTTGAATACTTGATTTACAAAAGCACCGATTGTGTTCCTTTTTTTTTTTCGATTTTCTTTATGAGTTAAATTTTTTCCCCCGTTAATATTATATTTAGCAGTGATGTTGAACATTTTTCTTACGAGTTGTCGGATTGGTTCTGTAAAGATTTTACATTTTTTTTTTTTTATCTTGCGCAGCGAAGAAGAGCATTTATTTGTTTTAATTTTTTTTTACAATCAGATTTATTATGTCATTCGAACAGGCACAGTCAGCGGTGCAGTAATACACGATCTCGCGGACACGGTGTACACGGGTCGAGTACGATGGCCGCGTACGGCGTCTACGGTAACGGCGGTTGCGGCGGTGACGTTTACGTGCACGGTGACGACACCGATCTGTACCACCAGGTGGTGGTGCTCTCGAAACCGGACGGCTCGTGCATACGGAGCCACGCGAACGGAAGTGGCGTCTGCGGCGGCGGTGGCGGTGGTATCGTCATCGCGGACACGGCCAACGGACGGTGTGTCGGTGAACAGCAACAACCGCAGCAGCAACCGCAGCAGCAGCAGCAGCAGCAGCAGCAGCATCAGCAGCAGTACCATATGCAGCAGTCGTACGACACGACGCGGATGTGCGGTGGTGGCGGCGGTGGTGGCGGCGACTTGGCCGGTGCTGTCGGAACCGACCCGTACCGCCGGCACCGACGGTCGTTCTGGTGCCGGACCACGACGCTGGCCACGATCAGCGCCCTGCTGGCCACCATGTTCTGCATCACGTGTGGCGTTTTTCTCTACTACAACTGTGAGTGCGATGACACTTATTTTTTTTTTTTTTTGAAACTCTAGGTCTTAGAACGCAATACGTGCACGTACAGAGCCTTAGCAACCGAATATTTCACCCGGGGTGAAATTTCAAAATACGCCCCCCTCAAGTGTTTTAATTTATAAAAAAAACTCACAAAAAAACTGAACACTTTTTGTATAGATATAATATAAATAATGATTTTTATTATAATTATGTAAGCGTTATTTAATTTTATTTAAATCAATAACTTATTAAAATAAAAATATACATAATAATATTTATAAATTATATAAGTAATTACATAAATACATAATATTGCTTTTACTTATAAGTAACAATTATATTGCAAATTTTTGCGCCTTCCCAGGAATCGCACCCGGGGCTTAGGCTCTTCTAGCCCCTCCCCTTTACTACGGCCCTGCGTACGTACGCTATGGTCAACAGTCGGTAAAAAAAAAATCCGCCTCGACACGTAGTTGTGATTGTTTGCATTAAACTCGAAATTACACATAACAATAATATTGAAAACTGTAAACAGTTGTTTTTTCTGTCATGGATTACAACGTTTACTGGTTAATTGGTTTCGAATCGCAGTTTTAAATCTTCTTCGATTTAATCTGCAGTTTGGTTCCAAAAACTTCTCAATTTAAAACTTTGTACAGGGTCTCAATAGATTAACGTATTTGCGCATAAATATTGAATTTCGAATCAAAATAAATACCAAGGGTTCAGTTGGTCAGTTGAATTAGCTTTCACTAATTAATCTTACTAATCAAATTTTTAATGAATCATTAGGAGTTCCTCGCGGAAAACAAACTTTTGAAAGATTATTTTTTTTTTGAACCAAGCTCATAAGTAATTCACTTTTAATTTCTTTATTACGAAGCAATAACTCCTAAATAATAATATTTTTATTACTATTATTATTAGTAGTATTATTTAAAATCAAATTTTTATTTGTATTGAACAATTTAAAGAGTAGAAGTTAGATGTATAAAACTCATTTTACTCATTTGGACGATTTGTTTGATTAAATTTATCTTGCGTTATGCACTAAACGGACACTTAATAATAACTGCGTATTTGATTTTTGTTAATTTATTATTTATCACGTACCAATTAATATCTATAGTAAGTAATATTAGATAAAAAAAGTGCTTAATATCGAAAAAGGCAACCGAGGATCTAAAAAAAATTTAAAAACTGATACATAAGTGTAATACAACTTTATAAATGAATAAAAGTGTGATTCTAATGTTATGCACGGCATTTTCAATGCGATGTCGTGGTATAACCTCTGAAATCATGGGCGGTGGTTAACGTGCAACAATGTGGTTCATACCGTTAACCACGTAATTTTTAATTTTATTGAATTTTTTGAAAATATATTAGTTGAATGGGTTTTGCCCCATGCATCTAAGACATTATTTTTATTTACTTCCCTTTGCTGAAAATACAGCCTACAGCATGCAAATTGATAGCGTAGTGAGGGAGAGGGTGGATCACCTCGCCAACAGTAAGGCTGACGCCCCATTAGACGTTACACATCAAAAGGACCTTCTTGTTTCATTGCTGTTTTCATAATTTGTAGTGATGCTTACTATTTTTAAGAAAATAATTTGACCATAAATGTTATATACTTGTAATAAATAAAAAAAGGTTTTAGTTTGTATACCGTAGGAAAATATGCGTACATGTACAGGTAGAATTTTAAAATACAGAACGTCAATTATTTTAGATGGACCGTATAGAACTCAATTAAGCATGCGATACGTTATTTTTCAATAAAATAATTGTTCTTTCATGTCGACCTTTTTCCTTCATGTCAACGGTAAATTAATTTCATATTTATCGTTCAGATTTCAATATTTTCCGATTAATGCAACTGAATTTTAGTGTTTACTAAATTGTAATGTTGTTATGATAACTAATGAACGAAAAAAGTATTTTTTGAATACATTATTAAACTAAAATTTACTAAAATAAAAAATGTACATTTATAATTTTCCTACGAGCTTTTATTTCTTGTCATTTTACTTTTACGTCTAATATTATTTCTTTCTTCTGAGATAACGGTAAAGTTACTTTGTAATTATATTGATAAACATAGTAATATAATGTTTATGGAGACTCATTATTTAAATAAAAAATTATAGTATGAAACATAATGATACAGTTTTCACGAGCACTTTAAAGTCCAAAGCATAATTTATATAATATTATATTTATTTACTAGTAGTTAATCGAGGTCTGCTCAGAATTGTTTTCAAATACGATAATTTATCATTGCTTTTACATTTTGAAATACCCGTTCCGGTTAGCCACAGTGCTGTAATTTACTGCATCAATTGTTTCTCATTTTTGTTGTTCTAAATTTATTTTTCAACTGTATTATTTCGACTGAAAATAAATCATATGAAATTAATTTTTAGCTATATTTTAAATATCCCTTCCTCGATCGGATCATAGCATTTCATTAGTGTTCTCTACTTTAAAAAAATGTTCGCTTATACTATATTAATAGATAAATAGACATCGATATATTGTCATGCGTATACGAGAAATATATTTATGAAGCAGAAACAGAAAAAAAAAATTTAAAACCTGATTTCATCCACTAGACCGGGCGATTGTTCTATCTTTCCAATGCCGAATGGCCACACCGCATAATATAATATAATATACGCATATTATACTACCTATGTAATAACTGTTTTTATTTATTTTTTGGCTTTTCGTTTTTTATTTTTTTATAATAGTATAATGTTATGGACACGCATCCTAAGCTCGTGTGCGATATAAAATAAAAATAATACCAAATTCGTGAAAGAAAACGCAATTTTTCCACGAAAACATATGCGACTATGTTGCGTGCGTTGTATTTTACTGCATTAAATAATATGCATAAATATAATTTTATATATGGTGGTGATGTTGGTGAACTATGGCAATGATACACGTACATTTTACGAACTACGACCTAATTGGTACATATACTTTCTCATATAATCGTATTGCTATGAAAATTTAATTATTTATCATTGACGTATAACCACGGGTTCAATTGCTGATATATAGAGCGAAAACCGGAATGTACCTAAGGAGAATATAAAAATGCTGAGAGCATTTGAATTGCAATTAAAGAGATGCAGGTATGATATTTCAACGTAGTAGATAAAAAGAAAATTAATCTCGATTAAAACGTTTAGTTTACACTCGTTTAGATAAATGTATATATTTAATGTCAGTAGTAATATTGTATTCATATATATTTATATTATTGATCATGTTAAATTTGTTAAATTTTTCAATTTTCTTCGTGTTATTCAAATTAGGAGACTGCTAATTTGATTTTTACTGCTTTTTAGGAATATATTTCAGCTGATTTCGATGTATATGTAGTCAATAATTACTATACAGTGTTATAATATTTATTGTAATGACTAGTAATTGATTTTTTAAATATTAATAAAAATATTATTTTATAAAATATATCGCCAAGTTCTTCTTGGCGGCTATAAAAAACATTATAAATTGCCTTTAGTTTGGTGGATTTAAGGGGTTGCCGAAGGGCCTCGACCTCTCCATTAGCAAAAGTTAGGTTTTATTAATTTAATTCAGTTTTTATTTTAATCTTTAAAATTTTATCTTTTATATTGTTTCGTTCAAAATGATGATATAAATGATATAATAATAATATAATGCTGAAATGATATGAGAATTTCCAAACATTCGTCAACTTTTCTAATTATGACAAATAACCTATAACAATATCGACAAGAGAGCGGTTTTTCTCAACGCTAAAACAAATAAAAACATATTTAAAAACAACAATGAGGGAAAACCGTTTAAATGGATTAGCTTTGCTTGATATCCATAAACAAATCGATGTAAAGCCGAAGAAGTATTAGATATGTTTTCAAAATCTAATCCTAAGAGATTACAATTTTCTTTATCGTTATACATTTCTTACAATATTATTTTAATTTAAATATAATTTTTAACAAATAAAAATATACACAATTAAAATTATTGTCTATTTGTATGCACCTATTTGTTAATTACTAAAAAAAATTTAAATTTGCGCTCTGTAGTATGGACCCCCCCCCAAAATTAAATTTTTGATCCACCACTGCTTCAGTGTACTATTAATTCATACATCTGTTCTCTCTTTGAGCATTTGTAGGCGACGATTTCGAATTTGACATGACATTTTTTCTTAATTATTGGGGATGTCAATTTTCAAGTCTTTCTTTGATCTTCAATAGCTACTACACGTTATTCCAAATTGTACTCGTAAGACATGTACTCTTAGTGAATTCATGATTCGTTTTAACCAAGCATATACTGGGTCCATTTTTCCCTACCAGGAAACTGGATATTATTATAGCCCACTTAATATAAATACCAATAGAAATGAGTCTCATGTATACCTATCTATAAAAATAGCTGGTTATTTATTTTTTCTTATCAAATAAACCATGTTAATTCTCTTTTAACCATTTTATACAGTATATTATATTACGTTTCAAATAAAAATCAATTAAAATCTTTTGTGTTAAATGTCCACGACTGTTGGAATGTAAATTTTTACATATGATAAAACATTAATAATTATTAATGTTTATTATAATAAACTTAAAAGTCTTACTTTTAATAAAAATTATAATACTCAAAATAACTTAGGTGTATCAATAACAATGACACAAGATCAATTTATTTGTTTTCGTGAAGGTGTGTTATTATGGTGACGGTACATAATTGATACTTTAAGAGAAACCGGAAGTGTTTGACGAGATCGGAAAAATCTTTTAAGATTATTATTTCAATATAAATATCATTATCTTACTGTTTTTGTGTATTATTATAGGCGTTGAAAATGTTTGCAGAGCATTCAATCTTCAACTAAATTCCAAAACCTGCTCCTTTACTTATAGGATTGTCTGCTATTGAATTACTTACATCCCAAAAGATAATTTCATCGGCCATTTAAAGTT